GAGCATAGGTCTTATGAGGAGCGGCTGAGGGAACTGGGGTTTTTTAGTCTGGAGAAGAGGAGGCTGAGGGGAGACCTTATCACTCTCTACAACTCCCTGAAAGGGGGTTGTAGTGAGGTGGGTGTTGGTCTCCTCTCAGGTAACCAGTGATAAAATGAGAGGAAATGGGCTCAAGTTGGTCCAGGGGAGGTTCAGGTTGGATATTAGGAAAAAAATCTTTACTGAAAGGGTTGTCAAGCCCAAGTTGGAAGTGGTGGAGTCACCATCCTTGGAGACATTAAAAAAATGTGTAGACATGGCACTTCAGGATATGGTTTTAGAGGGCATGCTGGTGTTGGGTCAACGGTTGGACTTATGATCTTGGAGGTCTTTTTCAACCTTAATAATTCCATGATTCTGTGATCTTAAAGATCTTTTCCAACCAAAATGATTCTCTGATTATATGATTATCCTCCCCTGCTCAGCCTTTAGACCACATCTGGATACTGTGCCCAGGTTTGCGCGCCCCCATCCAGGAGGAACATCAAAAACCTGGAGTAAGTCCACTGAAGGGCTGCTTGAAACTGTGATATCTTTAGTGAAAACAAAAATCTCTGAGAAGAACACTTGCATACATTTTATGATCTGGTTGAATAAGTCTACAAAAAACCAGATGAACGATAGAGGGGGAAAAAGGACATTTAGTTGAAGCCCCACTTTTTTTATTACTCTGTGTCTTTCCCTCTTTAGAACAGATACGTGTAGGTTCTTGCTCACATGAGAGGTATAAAGTAACATAATAAATTAATTGAAGGGAAGTAAATCGATGGTATAACGGTATGAATGCATCAAAAAACCATCTATTTCCACAACTTGACATCTTTCACGTTAGACCTAAGGGATGTGTTCGCAATCTAAACAACCACTGTTTTCAGCTGTCACTTTTTTTTTTGTAGTCATGCTTCTAATCTGTTTTATTTGTAGCCATATTTATTCAGGAAATCTGTTGTGTATAACTGGAAAATGTTTTAGATTAAAGTATAAAATGGTCACTTAGTTTAGTTGGGTAGAAACTTTAGCTACCATGGCAGAAATTTTCATTTGTAGGGTGTGTCAGTCAGGTATATGGTTGTAAACTACTGTAATTTGTTCCTTTGAAGTTTGGATTCTTCTAGTGTCCAGTTCAAACATTTAAGATAAGGTGGGGGTTTTTTTCCCAGATACAGAGTTCATTTGTAAATAAAAATGTTTTATCAATTCATTAAGAAATAATCTGATTTATATAAATTAATCTTGTCATAGTAGTATAGTGTCTGGTTGGCACATCTCCTGGCTGCAGAAACATATGAGAAATGTAAATCAAGATGTGAAAACATGGATGTTGTACCAAATAATAATATTGTAATCTTAGTCTTGATTTCTATTTCTATTCTTTAGCCTATTTGCACAGCTATATGGTGAATTTTTTCCCAGAAAAAAAGGCTGGGGGTGGGAGTACCTATAGGGAAAAACCAAAGCATTAAGGATTACACTCTGGGCATCTGGGCACTGATTCCCACCCTCCCCACCACCCTGTTGACCTTCAAGAGCACAGGGTGATCCTTTTAATGACTGGAATCAGCTGGTACAGCTTTCCAGGTCCCATTGGTGATATAGGCAGCACCCAAAGTGGCACAAGGAGACAATGATCATAGCTTTGTCTCCTGTTGAGGTGTTTGCAGCAGTAGAGTCGAATCATCCCCCTGAAACTTCCTGACAAATCCTTACCTGGCTAGAGGAGGCGAGAGCAGCGTAGCTCTCAGTGGGGCAGCACATACTCAGAGGCTGCTTCAGGCTGGGGTGACTGGTTCCAGGGCAGAACTGACCTCAGTGCCTGCATAGTTCAGCAGTGTTGGAGAAAATGAGGTGTTGTAGCAAATGGAAATTTTGTGGATGAGCATTGGCCCTTTGGGCTTCGGAGGAGACAAGCTGTAAGTAGGACTGTGACTGCCAGGGAGGTGGGCTGTGGGTTGCCCACGGGGCTGTTCCTGGGGATAGTGCAGAAGACTGTACATCAGTTTCCAGTTTTTGAGAAATATTTTGCCTGCTTTTAGTTCTGTTCTCTTTGAAGGTCATAGCTGGTGTCAAATTGAAGTTACCTTTTATTTGGGTAAATCTGCATCTCGTTGTGAATTGGCATTTTCTGTGTAGTCTGTCTGTCTGTTTTTTCTGCGCACAGCAGCGCGATTGAGAAATAGGTGCAGTTACTAATTCAAAAGTCCAATCTTATGGTGAAAGGAAAAATGTGACAGTATTTTAAGTGTGTCAGGTCTCAGTTTGCATCCTGGGAAGAATTCACATGTGGGTATGAACGGTGTGTGATGGTATATGGACGATACTTCTGTCTGTCTTAGAACTCCTTTGGTGCTGCCTCTTTTCAGTGGTTTATTAGCACGTAAAAACTACACCTGCGTTATGGAAACATAATTCTGAACAGCTTTGTAAAAGAAACAATAAACCCATTTTCCTGTTGTTTCAGGTTTGACCGTTAGCATCATGTAGCCAACCTTAGCGTTTCTGACAACAAACAGAACCCCCAAATGTAGCAGTTTGGTTTTGCTGAGCCAAGCAACTTTTATTACACCTGGCAGAGCGTGAAATCACGCGGCAAGGTTCTTGATGTTAACTCTCTGGAACTGACTTTGGAGAAGATGCCTGTGACAGCTCTTCAGCTCACCTATTTTGAGTTCTTTAGAAGATGTCAGCACAGCAGGCAGCTGTTACCGTTTAGCTTTGACCAGTGACAATTTCAATAGTTAACAGGACATTTTAGGCAAAATGAAAAAAGCAGGGGGTGAGGTGTTAAGAAAGACGTTCTATCGGTCTCATATGTTGTTTGGATAATGTCTGTGTTCTGGGGTTAAAAATACCCTGAAATACCAATATAGAGTGCAGAACTGTCAGAATATATTATGAGAAAGACAGGAAATTTCTGTTGTCAGTGAGAGCTGCTGGCTGTTATTATTACAACTGAAGAGCCTTTCTGCATCATACACAGTGTTATTAATAATTGCTCATCATTCAGGATTGTAGTAAAGGAGTTGCTCGAAGGAACATGGAGTCATCGTACACCACAGTGTAACTGATAATAAAAAGGTGTTGCCTTAAAGGAAAATGTTTTCCTTGTTATACACTGGCATTTAACTTCTGAAATCTGCTTTAAGAAAAAATTTCCATTTATTTACTGATGTTTAACTGATATTTGGTGTGTCAGTCTGGTTTTATGGCTCCTTTTGGCAAATATCACAGCTCAGTTGCTTCTGTATGTGATCTGTGACCTTGATGCAGGCAACAGCGTGAATTACTGCTCTCTGATGTTTTTGCCTGGTTTAATAAAACATGTTCTGCTTTTGGATAATAGTGCTTTTAATTAATTTCCTTATTGTAAAATATCATTAACATGACGTTTTCCTTGGAAGATTGACACGTCGCCTGTCCTGTTCCGCTCTTTCAGCATTCATCTGTATGGATGCCATATTCTAGCTGTGTCTGGCTGGTGTGTGGAAGGTTGGACTTTTTTTACCCAGCAGTGTTTGTTGGAGCTTCCCTTTAATGATTAGAACAGCCTAGACCAGCAGCTCTTCTCTCCACCCCCATCCTTTTCATCACAGCTCAGCTAGCAAGTTCTTTTTTTTATGGTACACAGTGAGTTCATGAGACCAGTTTAGACAAATGGACAGAGAACGCTGAGAGGAATGGTTCCAGTTTATATATTCCTCCTAAAAAGCATTTTTTTCCTAAAGCATATTCTAATAGTGTTCTGGCTAGAGTTCATACTTCAATAGCTACCACATCTTTTTGTTCTAGGAGAGGTTATTCTTCACTAAACAGCACGATTCTTTTCTTTGTGCATCCTCTAGCCAGTCAGTGACTCCTGTAGAGCAAAAGAGGAGGGAAGGAGTTCTTCTAGTGATATTCAGTCTAATACTTCTTTTGCTGTAGGAGGCAAGAGGAAGTGTTTGAGACCCAGCATACAGGATCTTCTTCAAAGTATTTTTCCAGTCTTATCTGGAGGCTGATAAAACCAGAATCTCACATGCATGCATGCACACACATATGTATGTATGTATATTTATATGTACATATAAGCATACGTACATATATATATGTATTTCCACTTGTACTGTGGTGGAAATGTGCTGCAACATTCAAATTAAAGGCATGACTTCTGTGTGTAGTAGGTAAGTACAATAGCAGAAGCATCATTACCTGATAGCTTTTTTTTTTTTAGCAGAATTCTGAAATCACGGTTACTGATGGACAGACAGTGCTTTCAGGTGTTGCCTTTTATACTGCGTAAGAAATCTGCATCTTGCCTCAAGATAAGCAGTTCTGACATCACTTTAATGGGAAGGTTATGCTGCCTGATATAGTACTCTTATTCTGTCAGTTTGGAAATACGGTTGCAAAGCGCAGAAGCCTTCTTTTAGAACAGCCTGTGTTAACAGTCTGTAGTAACAGTCTGTCAGTATTGAACTGGCTCAGTAGCTTTTGAATTCTGAGAGTGGGGGGGGAGATACACACAATATTTTATTTGTTTGTTTGTTTTACACTCAGCTGGGAAATGTGCTGCAACATTCAAATTAAAGGCATGACTTCTGTGTGTAGTAGGTAAGTACAATAGCAGAAGCATCATTACCTTATTGCTTTTTTTTTTTAGCAGAATTCTGAAATCACGGTTACTGATGGACAGACAGTGCTTTCAGGTGTTGCCTTTTATACAGCGTAAGAAATCTGCATCTTGCCTCAAGATAAGCAGTTCTGACATCACTTTAATGGGAAGGTTATGCTGCCTGATATAGTACTCTTATTCTGTCAGTTTGGAAATACGGTTGCAAAGCGCAGAAGCCTTCTTTTATAACAGCCTGTGTTAACAGTCTGTAGTAACTGTCAGTATTGAACTGGCTCAGTAGCTTTTGAATTCTGAGAGTGGGGGGGGAGATACACACAATATTTTATTTGTTTGTTTGTTTTACACTCAGCTGAGCTAGATGCTGAACATGCACAGAAGGTTTTGGATATGGAGCACACCCAACAGATGAAGCTAAAGGAACGTCAGAAGTTCTTCGAAGAAGCCTTCCAGCAGGACATGGAACAATACCTTTCTACAGGATACTTGCAGATAGCAGAGAGGCGAGGCAAGTGCTCAAATACCTTCTTTGTAATCCACAAACTCACAACTTGGAGAACATTGTTGAGGGGTCGAAGTCAGCAGTGGCTTTAAAGCTTACAGATGAAGCATCGCAATGTCTAAATTCTTCCTTGGTGGAATTGAAACTGCAGATAAGCTCTTTAAAGAAACACTGGCTTCCTGAGGAACTAAACACCTTAGAAAATCAGGTGGGCTCATTGTCTGAGGAAATGCAAAGCACTGAAGTACATCTGGAACAGCATTTTTCCCTGCAGCTGAAAAGTCCATCTGTATCTATAAAGATATGGATGGAGGTGCCCCTGGAGTTCCAAAGCCTGGGATTGTCAACTGGCAAGAGATGCTTCAGAAAATTTTAAAAGTGCAGACAAAAGCTCAGTGTTGTATTTCAGAACAGTTCCCAGGTGGTAGCTATTTCCCTTGTCTGTGTACCATAGAGTATGTGATTAGGATATGGGAGATCCAATTAATTTATCTCCTTATTATGAGATGACTCAAGTCTGGCATCTCCCCAAGCCATAAAAACGCCATAGACTAACAATTCTGTGTGGGAGGTATCCATCTGCTGGGCCAAAACCTAGGGATTGTAGGACTAGAAAGAAAGCAAAGGGGAGATTATGTCACTCATGTGGCAGGAAAAAATGTAGAGATTCTGTCCCAGCTCCAAGACCAGTTCTGCCATCATTTGTAATGACGGAGCAGGGAATACAACCCAAGGCTTCCGTTTCTCTGCACGAGTGCTGTCAACGCTCATCTGCAAGGTACTCTGGACTGGTTGCTAGGACAGCCTTCTGATAAGTGGGATTTGTAAGTTGTAAATTCCTTTGGTCTAGGAAGGAGTAGAGTTTGGGTCTCCTAGTTTATATATATATATACACACACCACCTAAAAGTGGGCATTGTCACTGGCTAGTTAGTGCTGGATACACAGCTCTGTTAGGAGGTTATTTAATTACCCAACTCTCAGAGCTTCCACTTTGCAGTATAATGCAGAACCCATGTTATGTCAAAGCAGCTATTTTTATGAAGGATTTGATCCTGCAGCTATAGTATATTTGGGATAAAAACCAACAATCAAATGATAGGATTTCACCTCAGTTCACATATGAAGGCTTTTGATAGTGTAATTATTAAATTTAGATAAACCATTAAACTGTTCATGGTAATATTTGATATTATACAAGCAGCCACTGGACTTAAATCTGAGTACCCCTGAACTTACTTGTTCTGTTTGTACGCTCTGTTGTTGAAGGTAGATGTTCATCCAAGTATTTAATTACCTTGTGAATTGTTTGTATAATATTGACAATAATAAGTAGTTTGCTTGAGTAATTAATGATGTGAAATCCCCATGCTGAGGGAAGATATTGGGCCTTAGCCTAGGTTTTATGTACTACTGTCATTTATTAGACTGTTTGATTGAATGAGGAAGAAGAATGGCTGCTCTCTGTTAACATTAATCCTTATTTCTGAATTTTCATGTCCCTTTGTGTATTGACATTTAGCAATTGTGTGCTTAAATGTGTTTGTTTTTCTCTAAAAAGACTTCTAGTTGAGGGAATTGGAGTGTTACAAAATGGAAAGTTTCAATCTTTTCCCCCCGAGCCCCATCCTAGCATATTTCTGACAACGCTTGTGCTATAAATATTGTTGCTAAAAAATGTTTTGTTTTACAAAACCAGTAATGGACACGAGTTTCACAACAAAGATTGAACTGGGGCTGAGATTGCTGCTGAGCAGCTCCTGTGGGTGTGCTCCTTCCATATCTAGTGTAATTATTACTAATGCATGTCGTTACAGCAGCTATTGAAGCCTTTGTAGGTAAGAACATCATGTTGCTGACTGTCAGTTTGCTCATTCTGCTATTTTTACTACAGAACCGATTGGAAGTATGTCTTCCATGGAGGTGAATGTGGACATGCTGGAACAGATGGACCTAATGGACATGTCTGACCAAGAGGCACTCGATGTCTTTTTAAACTCGGGAGGCGAAGACAATAATATGCTTTCTCCTATGCTGGGTATGTTACTAGTAATGACATTGTGTTTAGAGACAAAGCGATGAATTAGATGTAATGGATGATGTTACCTCATAAAACATTACACTTTACCTAGATTGAATATTTTTCATTTGTGGTTTTCAAAATGTTAACATTTTGTTGCAGTACCAGAGAGCTTGCTGCAAAACTACTTGGTATTTCTGGACTGTCTCTTTTTTCAGAAGCTACTGTAGCTTCATGTTGTATTTGTCACGATATGGATATTAAGGTGCATTTTTCTTGATATGAGGGCATTTTAACCCTCATATCGAGAAAAACAGAAAGACTTTTCTGTTGAAAAAACTTTCAACAGAAAGTTTGTGGTAGTTAGGTTCTTGTTTTTAAGACTGCTTGCTTAGAATTTGTCCAGAATTTGGCATTTTCAAGTTGTATAATACTAAGATTTTCAGTGAGAGATATTCAGAGACATGGTTCAGCACAGCAGTTCATATATATGAAACACGACAATTTTCTGGAAGCTTCTCCATAGTGATGTGATTCTGATTCTATAGCTCTTTCTTGTAGCCTTCTTACTGCTAGTAATGTTAGTTTTAAGGATTAAATTAATCTTAATCCAAAATTTTGTTTACGTGTTCTGATAAACAAAACCAGATTTACGTTTTGCAAGTTGCAGCATGAGGAGGGATCTGCTTAAAGCAAGGAATTAGTAGTACTGGATACTTTACCCACCAAGAAAGTGTGCTTTCTTAACTAAAAACTTACTTTATGCCTATTTACGTACTAAATGCCTTTCCCCAAAAGAGTTAAAGTAAGTTTTCTTGGGGGAGATGGTGAAGCTCCTTTAAATATAATTGGATTTCTTTTGAAAATAACAGGTTCAAATAAAAGTACTTACAGTGAAGAAACAGTATACTTTAAATCCTATCCTATATTTTGGGATATGTAAAGAAAAATGTTAATAATATGCTGGAGTAATTTTCTTCCTCCCTATATAAAGGTGATTATTACCTGCTGTGAGCATGAAAAGCTTGTGGAAAACAGTCAAGGCACACTTGAATATTGAAAGTTTTTGTGTTTTATTGCAAAAATTAAATTCAGATGGCTGGTTTTGGATAGGCATCCAACTCAGGCCTTGTTAAAGTTGGTCACTGTTTGAGAGTGCAAATAACTGCAGCGTCTAGGACTGTTTTCCTCTTGCTGGGGCTTTGGCAGATGTTGGGCCAAGAAGCTTCGCGTCTTAACAACAAACAGTGTAGCTGGATTATCTAAGGAAGTGTAGAAACTACTAGGTGTGGTCGTTTTTTTCCTAAATAGATGTAAAACTTAATAGCCTTTGAAAGAACTATATTAATTAATTTGTGCTGCAATGCAAGTATTACAGTATGTATAGATGTGTATTTATTTATATGTACATATGCTATAATATAACATACCAGTGCTGTTATGTTCTAGTACTGTAACCTTAATGGACAGGCTTGCAACAGGACTTACTCCTCTACTAACTACTAATTAGTATTACTACGGTGTAAACAGTCTTGTGGCTCTTACTGTTGTGGTTCAGAGGGTTCATTTCTCTCTGAATTAGAAGGGATTTCTGTGCTTGCTTTAAGGGCCTTGTACCCTAGCTTGTATCAAGACCAATATACAATAGTCTTCTTTCTCAGAAAAACGAGATGGCTTAAAGGTAACTCTTCCTGTTGCTCTCAGTGGAGAACTGGGTTAGTCAGGGCCAAGATTTGTTTCTTAATTTTACAGAACACCACAGAATACAGGTAAGTTATTTTAGTACCTGGTAAAAATGAAAATCACCTCAAGACATTACAACGTTTTCAAGTTTATCTTGCTTTAAAATGTTGCCAGCTTATGGGCATCGGTTTTGCAACATTTCGTTATAGTAAGTTGAACTGAGAAATTTACTCACCTCTGCCACTCCAGGCAACTCCTCCTCTGGGTGCATTATGTGAATTAATCTAATGCATGCTGGTGTGCACAACAAAAAGACAGGTGTCTTTAAAAACATCTTCCTGGTGTCACTTGTGCTCAGCAGAAATCCAGGTACTACCTGACAAAGCAACTCAGTAGACCTGCTAGACATCCTGGGCTGGCACAGTCCGTTGGGGTGACAGTGTGTTTTCAGTCCAGGCAGGCTGGTTGGCTGTCAAGAGTTGGGAACGTTGTACCAGACGTTTATCAACTTGTGTTTAAACTGGAGACCTGCTGAGGGCATGTTTCCCCCTGGAGTTCCTGATCCCAGAGAGCCTAAACCATGTCACATACAGGGCTACTTGCTGTCCAAGTTTAGGTCCAGAATTTAAGATTGCAGCTAGTTAGGGCAAGAAGTTTGCCTGAGCAACACTGTGTAGTACACAACCAGTCTCTGTTACCTCCAGGTGCTGTGATGACTCTTTTCTTGTTAAAATTTAACTTGGTACTTGGTGAGGTGATGGGGAGCAGTCAATGTAGTGTGAACTGCTCTGCAAACAGCCTTAGCAGAGGTAAGGTGCAGTGATCAGCTCATCTCCATCTGACCCTCTGGAAATTTTTTTTAATTTTTTTTTTTATAAAATCCCACACGCTTTTTAAGACTATTTTCTCAGTGTTTACTCAGTGCTGAAGCTGGGTGCCCTGACTATGGAGAAACACTCATTTGGTGTAGTAGAGAAGGAAAAAAGGGCTTCATTTGGCAGATCACATAGAGTGTTTAGATGTTTCCCCATTTTTCCTTATTTACTGCCAGGAAGTGTCCAGAGAAGAGGATCTAAGATAATTTTGCTGTTGAGACTCTCAGACTGCAAGCAAACACCATTACACTCAACTTTTTACATAGGATGTGGAGGAAGCCTAGTCTTAAAATCCTGTTCCTGTGCAGCTGAGCTATGATACAGCTTTGCCAGGGGAATGCTTTCCTGTGGGCAGGAATTTGTTTTGCTTCTGCATCTTGGTTTTTAGTCAAAACTGGAGATTTCAATTATTGCAAATCTATCTCCCAGTTATTATTTTTTTAATTTCACTCAGGTTTATTTATGTCATTCTGTTGGACAGAGTTTATCTGGAGGATTTTCCCCTACAAGAAAGCTGGGGAGGGACTTTTTATAAGGACAGTTAATGATAGAACAAGGGGGAAATGGCTTTAAACTGGAAGAGGGGAGGTTTAGATTAGATATTAGGAAGAAATTCTTTGCTGTGAGGGTGGTGAGACACTGGCCCAGGTTGCCCAGAGAAGCTGTGGGTGCTCCTCCCTGGAAGTGTTGAAGGCCAGGCTGGATGAGGCTTTGAGCAACCTGGTCTAGTGGAAGGTGTCCCTGCTGATGGCAGGGGGGTTGGAACTGGATGAGCTTTGAGGTCCCTTCCAACCCAAACCATTCCATGAGTCTATGATTCTATGATTTGCCTATTAGTGATGATTCTCAGCATATGCTGAAATCTGAATGGACTTTGCCAAAGTCAATTAGGAGGATTAAAGTGGTCTTGACTAACAGGCAGCCTGGACATCAGCTATGTCTCGTTAACAGTCAGGGAGTTAATACTCCTGCCATCTTACCTTACTTGATCTCAAGCATTAGCAATACTAGAACAGGCAAGAGCCATCAGAAACAGATCAAAGCCAGTCTGGGGCTTATATTTGAGATCAACTTCAGCTTTGTCTTTTGGGAGGGGTTTTTATGGTATCTTGCAAAAGAAACAAACCAGCCTGAATGCAACTCATTAACCAACGCTGAGCTCAGTTAATGATGTACTGACTTCTCAAGTCAGTTGCTGAGCCACAGCTTGATTGTTGTTGTTTTCCTAACTATCAGGGCCCGACTCCAGCACCTACGTGAATGAGATCAGTCTTCAGGTTCCCAGCCAGTCCGAATTACGACAGAAGCTGTCTTCACTGTCATCCACCTGTACCGACTCTGCCAGCCAAGATGCAAGTGAAGGAGAGTCTCCAGTTGTTCAGTCTGATGAAGAGGAAGTTCAAGTGGACACTGCTCTTGCTGCTGTAGCTGAAAGAAAGGGTGCTTCAGATGTTAGTGATGAAAGTGACTCTCAAACTATTTGAATCTTAAAACCATATCCTTTAAGAATGACTTCTGAATGAATGAACAAGTGAATGAAGAGCTTGCCTGTGTAACAATTTGCTAACCCAGCATAACAGCCAGATCTTTTTACTCTAGTAATACAGCCTTTTTACAAAATTGCCAGTTACATGGAGGTTGGGTTTAAAAAAAAAAAAAAAAAAAAAAAAAAGCCTAAAGCACACACACTTTAACAGTACTCTTGGGGCTCAGGGGAGCCGTAAAACTGTTGTATATACTATGTATAAGAGAATTGAAGGGGAAAGATACAAGTTACTTTGACCACTAACCTTTAAATGGCTGATTGGAAATACTTAAGACTTGATTGTGTAATACTGAACCCAAGTTGTTCCTTGCATGTTTTCAGCTGCTGCAACTGAAAGTTTAGGATCCACACCAAAATGAAAAGTTATTTTCTACTCTTTACTACCTACTGTCTGCCCACTGCCTTTGTCTACTAATGCAGCAGTGTCTACTCTCTCACATTTCTTACTAATGCAGCAGTGTCTACTCTCTCACATTTCTTATTCAGGACCAACATAGTTATCATAGGTATTAAGGAAAAAAAAAAAACAAAACAAAACAAAAACAAACAAACTGAAAAGGAGGAGAGATGCACATTGAAATGTTACGCTCCTCACGGAGCAAATATCTTAGCATTGTATAAACTTACTCCTCTTTTGAGATAAAATAAAGTATTTCTATCCCAACCATGTCTTTTACTTGATTACCCAAGTATTTTATCTGTGACAGTGAACAGAGGAGACTAATTCAGCAATCAGGGAAAAAAGTGGTTATTTATACTGAGCACCAGTGTAATTTAGTTTTCCATGGTAACATCTGTTTGACTACACTGATGCAAGCCAATAATTTAAGGGACATAAACCTGAATGAATTTAAATTAAGTGCGTACAGTTTATAAACCTTAGGACCTGTAGTCATCATCATCTCACTGCCATTTTTTCCTGCGGTCATTTTTTTTTTCCTCTCTCTAAACTTGAGGTCTGAACATGTTTAACACCTGTTTCTTGTCAAGTCTCACACTCTGTTTGCAGGGATCTGCTCTCCTTTGAGAAGGCTCCTGGCTCCTGCTCATCACGCACAGAGGGAAGGAATGTAATCACAAACAGTGTAAGTAAAAGGACGAGCTGGGATGTAGAGGCCTTCCAGAGACCTGCTGGTTGGGAATGGGGCATCTCCTGCTGCTCACCAGCTGGGAAGTGGCCACTTTCCTTAAGGATTCACTCCTTTTTTTTTTTTCCTGTTAACCTGACAAAGTGTTTCCTGACCCCTCTTCTGGGAAATGAAAGCTAGAAGCTCCCTACCTACAATTAGATATTTACTATTTATCAAGGCAGCTGTTGAAATAAATTGTTCTTGAAGGAGCTTACTTTACTCACTCATTTTCCAGAAGACAGACAAAGTGTCCAAAAAAGTTTTGTTTTTTTTTATTAAACCTCGTAGTACAAACCTGGAAAGTAAACAAAAAACTGGCAATAAACAACATGAAGTCTTTCCTTACAAGGAAAGAGAGCAGAGCAGTGCTAATAAATTAAATGTCAAACTGTAAGCCATAGTCAGAAGTTTACTGTCAAGAGGGAAAAAGTACACAGCAAGGCCATAAAAACCAGACAACCACATTTGAAAACACTTGACTCTGTTTATGTTATTGTTAAATATTCCAAAACAGTTCAGTCTTCTGCAACAACAACCAACAAATTGTATTATAGGACTTTCCTGACAGTCACCACTGGCAAGCTCAGTGCAATATGGGTAGCTACGGTATTGTTGAATTCAATTACGAAACAAAACAGTTTGTGAAAACATTTTCCCTTTTTTTATTCCACACATACTGTACACACAACCAGAAAAGGGCAACAGCTACTCCATTATTATTTTTTGTTGTTGTTCAGTGATGTAAGCAGCACTTATAAATGTTACAAGAAAAACCCTGTAAGCATCCAATCCAACCGATGAAGAAAGTGAAACGTAAGGCTTTTCTTCATCTTGTCTCTTTGCCATCCCTCCCCCCACCCCAAGAAAAGGCTCAAGTATTTAAAAAAATTTACAGGCATATGTACAAAAGGTGTGATTTTTTTTTTTTTTTGTTACAATATGAAGAGAAAAAAAAAAATAGACAAGATGAAAGCAAATGCATTTTCACATTCAAAAGAAATACACAGACCTGCTAGTGGCTCTAAATGTGATCATATAATGAAACAAATTCAAAACAAAAAAATTAATGCTCAACTGTGTAAAGGTGTGAAAAACAGCAGTGGAATGGAAATGGAATGTTAAAAAGATTGCACGTCTATGACAAAGAAGCACTTATGGCTTCGATCACTTTTTTCTTTTTTTTTTTTCTTTTTTTTTCTTTTTTTTTCTTTTTAAAGGATGCTATTGAAGGGTTTTTGATAAAGTAGCCAACAGCACCAAAAAATAACAGAATGGATTTCCTAATGAAATCAGGCACAGTTTTCCCTCACATGACTCCTCAAGGCAGGCAGTCTTTTTTCCTCCTTTTTTTTTTCTTTTTTTTTTTTTTTTCTTTTTTAATTTTTATTTTTCCCCCTCAAAACAGATGCATAGTGATGTGCTGGTAAAAGAGAACATACTCCAAATCTCCTCCTTTTTGCCTACAGTTAGGAAACAAAGTCCATCTCCAGCTGCCAGAACCTCCCAAAGAAAGTGTGTATTCTCCAATTTAAAAAATTACAAAACTCATTTTGCCGTGACAGAATAAAAGTCAGCCAAAGTAAAGCAATTTCTTTCAAGTTTTTGTCTCCTATCCCTTTTCTCTCTAGAGAAAATCTGCTCACGTGACTGGAGAACAAATTAGAAAACACATCAAACTTTAACCTATTCAAAAAATGGGCTAAAAGCCTTTTTTTTTTTTTTTTTTTTTTTTTTTTCACAGTTACCAAAAAGGCTTTTTTCTTTTTTCAGCCATAGGGACAATACAAATTAATATTTTATCAGCCCCTTGCCGGTTTTAAAACAGTGAACATACGGCAGTTTAAAAAAATCAGACTGCTATATCTATCTATTCTAAGTACAAAAAAAAAAAAATTTCAACAGTTTAATGCTAAAACAAAATTAGTTCTCTAAAACCAGAAGAAAATCTTCTTTAGAGCTAGTGCAAAGACAGCTTGTATTCTACAGCAAGTACTCCAAACTATGGTATAATAATTACAAAAAATATATATAAATTGACAAAATGAGAGTGTTGGCATCTTCAGGATTAACTTGAAGCACTTTTGGACGAACTGGAGGATGAAAGCCTAGATGATGGCACGTCAACTGTCGCTCTCTTACGAGGTCCTCTTTTTGGTGTAGGCTTGCTGATACAGTTCTCGATGCTGCCATTTTTACCAGATACTTTTCCACAGATTTGATTGACTAGACTGATTATTTGTTCCTGTTCAGGAAGTCGGAAAAAGAAAACACAAATTAGCATCTGCTCATTCTCCAGTCGCTTCTGATGGACAGAGAGGTAGTGCTGCCTTTTTGACTGAAAGCACCTAACTGAGGGAGGGAGGGAAAAAAAAAATCAAAAATCTCTATATTTGCAAACTCTGCAGAAGCTTGGCTCATGTACAAGTGATTCATAACCTGGAGTTTGGTGAACTGTACCATGTAGTAGTCCAAATACTGCTCTTGCTGAAGTTTCCCCCCCTCCAAACTTAAAAGACAGAGAGGTTGTGGAGTCTCCTTCTCTAGGGACATTCAAAACCCACCTGGACGCCTTCCTGTGTGATCTCATTTAGGTTCCTGCTCTGGCAGGGGGGTTGGACTGGATGATCTTTCAAGGTCTTTTCCAATCCCTGACATTCTGTGATTCTGTGATCAGCAGATCTGGAAATGTCTGAGCTCTGGCCACTAAGCAAGAATAAAGAAACCAGGCTGCAGAGTCAGAAATGTTCTTCAGGTATGATTTAAAACCTACTGCTGAACAAAGGTATAAATGCCATCATTTTAAATCTACAGTAATATTGCTTAAAATTTACTAAATATTTCTTTAACAATTTAAGAAAAAGATTCCACTTTTTCCTTGTGACGTTGTTGTCACTGGTTACAGGATGCTACTTTCTCATGTAATGCTTGTTAAGAAGATCTCTGGGTGTCCCGGTGCCCCGAGCCCACGCACAAAGCTGGCTTGCTGCCAACAAGGGCTACAGGTCCACGGCAGCACGAGGAGCGAGAGACGAGAGTCCTCAAGCTGCACCTCACAGTGTCCTGGCTACAATGCCACTCCTAACTCCGTTATGTTCAGGGACGTGAGGAAGTTTGAGGTGTTTTTTCTGAACTGGCTGTTCCATCCTAGTAAGAATGTTGAGAAGTTATTTTTGAAACAGCCTCTTAATTAAGTCTTAACCTAACAGTTAACTAGATTTAACAAGTGGTATTTGATATGCAGGTTCTCTCTCTCTCCCCATTCACAGCCCTCAAAAAAGATTCTGTAATAATAACTGGGCATGCACTTAGTATCTTTCAGAAATGTAGGAACTTTGTGATGGGTTTTTACATTTGAAAATAATCATCATCATCATCATCATCCAGCACTGAAGGAGAGGTTTTTCTTGCCTTTCCCAACACAGCCTAAAATATCTACTTTATAATTATAAAACCTAGTAAAAATAATTACTGTAAGTGATTCTGCAGGGAAGAGAGGCTTTGAAAACCTCAATAGAATTAACAGATTGTGAAAACACAGGATCTAAGAGACTGAATAATCTTACAAGATTAAGAGAAATACATTAAAATTATGGAATAACTTCCTGAAACTCTTTAGTGTTTATTGCATTACAAAGGCAGTTTCACTGTTGTCTGGGCTTCTTAGCTTGTATTTTTTTCTGTCTACAGTACCAGATACCAGAACAGCATCTGCAACTGAAAATGCACAAAGCTGCAAGGGCACCACCACCGGCCCCCAGACTTACTTTGACCTTTTAGGTTTTTTTCCCCCCATAATTCTACACACACACACATCAGAAACGGCTGAGAAGCCCGTCACAAAGAGCTGCTTGTACCTGCGCTGATCTCCCAGAGCTGCTTTGTCCTTTCTCCCCCTGCTTCACTACCCACAGCTCAGGCTAACGGGAGAACACTCCCCCACTCTCTGCTCCCCACCCATCCCTCACACACTGTCCAGAGACAGGGCTCCCTGGGCAGGTGACGAGACCTCACTTGATTAGTGAATCGTTAGCCCAGAACCCAGGCACAGTCCTAAATCACCAGCTGGAGTTCTGTGATTAATCATCAGCACATCTGCTTGAAGCCACTACTGGACCTCTCACCTACAAGTATTCTGCAAGTTTGCCTTAAAGAAGGTTCAGGCAGGACTGGAATAAATCAGTCTGAGCTTTCAGTTACCAGCAGGGAGAACTTATCCATAAGCACAGAAGTTATCATAAATGAACCCATCAGAGCGCAGCCTCACGTTCTACAGCATCCCAGAGCATAAAGTGGCTGCTCTGTTCTGTAACACGTATTTCAAGCTTCAGGTTTTTGTCTTTGTAATCATGTTTCTCTCTATTTCTTTTACTTAGCTTATAATAAAGTGCTTTCTTCCCACACACACACAAAAAACCAAACCCCAAAACAAACCACCAAACAGCAAAGCGCAGTCTCCTGGGGGCCTGGCAGGACAAAGGCAAAGCTAAGTCTAGTCTCAAGCATCGGGTACCAAACTCCCAGCATCCCAGAGCTGTGTCGTACAGACCTCATCGTAACGGTACATCATTTTCAGTCCCCGACAAGACTTCTGTTTTTCCACATGCCGCAGGGCACACTCCAAGCAGAAGACAACGTTTTCATTCTCCTGTACAACCTGTAAGAACGCAGGGGCAGCAAGGAGAGAAGTGCAGTAAGCTCCAGGTTGTAGCTCTGTTACACACACAGTATTTCCCATTTCCCATGTTTGAATTATTAAACCTGTATTTTACTACAAGTTAGTGGAAGGAAACATTAAACAAGAAGCATTACACGTTGTGAAATGATGCAGAATGTGTAAGAAGAAGAAAGTACATGTCCCTTTTTGAGTGCTAATGTTGGCAAATACATACAATTTTTTTAAAAAAACCCACCACTAGTAATGAAGGCCAAATCCCAATAATGATACAGGCTTTACTGGTATCTAATAAGTAGCCTAAAGATTTCCCGAAAGCAGCTGTTTCCCATTACTTTAAATGCTGTCTTGAATAAGGATGAAATCAGCAGCTTAGCCACAGGGTTCCTCAGCTACTGTCTCATTCAGCAGAGGTCACAGTTGCTCAGCTGGCTGCCTGCCAAGCCTACACAGGCAGCTTGGAATTTCACAACCAAGTTGACTTTTTGTCCCTTATTACTGTTAAGAATGACAAGGAAAAAATCCTTTCCTCAATTACACTGACTCCAGAACAAATGGACCAGAATTAAGAGGTTTTGGTTGGTTAGGTGTTTTGGAAATAAACTCATTTTAAAGTTACTTCAAACTATTTTCATGTCTTGGCTGCTCAGTGCTCTAAAGACAAATATAAACTCAGCATATTCTATCCTAGGGAGGGAAATGGCTACATCTCATCATTTAACGTGTATTTCCATCAACAACCTAACATTTATAATACATATATTTTACTGCAGTACCTGAAGGGGCTCCAGGAAGGCTGGGGAGGGACTTTGGACAAGGGCAGGGAGTGACAGGACAAGGGGTAATGGCTTTAAACTGGAAGAGGGGAGGTTTAGATTAGATATTAGGAAGAAGTTCTTCACTGTGAGGGTGGTGAGACACTGGAACAGGTTGCCCAAGGAAGTTGTGGATGCCCCCTCCCTGGAAGTGTTGAAGGCCAGGCTGGATGAGGCTTTGAGCAACCTGGTCTAGTGGAAGGTGTCCCTGCTGCTGGCAGGGGGGTTGGAACTGGATGATCTTTAAGGTCCCTTCCAACCCAAACCATTCTATGAATCTATAACCAAAAAAAAACCCCAAAAGATGACAGAAAAAAGGACTGAATATGAACTCTCATGCACTGTATTATGTTTATTTTAATATCTGATCTTGGAATTAAGTGGTACATCAGGTTAGGGTTGGCTTTTGTATTTTTAATAAAACTGCTGTATTTCTAGGTGTTCTGCATACAGCTAAAAACCTGAAAGTGTCAGCACAGTAATGAGCTCACCCTCAAAGGCCAGTAGGCAATTACTTTTAAAAAGAGAGAAAGTTTACGGGCATGGCTTCTATTTTTGAACAGAGAGGTTGGCAAATGGCATCTCAGCTTGAGAGACTGGATACATGTATCCTGCAGTTTGGGCTGCAGGGAAACTGTGGCTGCACGGGCTGTAGCTGCATCTGGGGCTCGGGGCATGTATTTGAGTCGCCAGCTCCTCCTGAGAACCGTTCTGCCATGAGTTACTACTACTGGCAACCTCCAGGTATCTGTGCCGCCCCTCCTACTGCAATGCCGACATGCTTGTGGGCGCTGAGAGCGGCTGTGTGACTGGTTTGTCCCTTCCTCACAGGGAGAGGGAAGCTAACTGGCACTAACAGTTGACTTCTGTCACCGCTGCCCAAGGCGACAAATGTCCTGACACAAACCAACCCAA